TCGATGGATGCAGGTGGCTCAGGACCGTGCTTTGTGGCATTACTTGGGGGAGGCCTATGTTCAGCAGTGGACTTGTGAAGGGCTGTAATGATGATGATGATGATATTGATGTTTGAAAGAATTGATGTATCGTTTCCATCCCTAGTCGCACATCGAATAAGTGCCCTAACTCCCTTAGTGTTATTACACGGCATGATGGCAAGGGCACTGCAGACCGGGTCCACTTTAACGTCCTAATTAGGAACCCTTACTCCCTTTCTCTTATTACACTATCCTGAATCAGGGCGCAAGGACCCTGATTCAAGGTAGTGTAATAGGGGTAAAAATTTACAATTGTTATTTTTATTTAGAAATATACAATTGTTATTTTAAATGAAATTGTATACTTGGGGAGTGCTTTCAGCAGGGATGGAAGATGTGATTTAGATGTGGATAGGCGTGTCGCTGCCGGAAACAAAGTCAATGGTGCCCTGAATGCATTAGTAAAAAAGGCAAGGCGTGGTGAAGAGTGCACGTCTTGCAATACATAACGCAGTGTTGGTACCGACTTTTTTATATGGCAGCGAAACCTGGGTATGCCAGAAGAAGCATAAAAGCAAGTTGAATGCAGTGGAGATGCGATCTCTTCGTAAAATGTGTGGCGTTACCATAGCCAACCGAAAGCGAAACGAAGAGATTCGCAATATGGCAGGATTGAAAGATGACCTTATCACAAAAATTGATAGGGGCGTACTCCGATGGTTTGGGCACATTGAACGAATGAGTAAAGACCGAATGGTGAAGAAAATATATAGAGCGAAAGTAAATATTAAAAGGTGTCGAGGTAGACCGAGACTAACTTTCGAAGACCATGTGAGCAAATTGCTCGAAGAGGGGAGGGTCAAGAGTACTCGGATACCTAAACGTGCATTTATGAAGAAGTTAATGAACCTGAAAGAAGCGAAAGAGGTATGTAAGGATCGTGACACTTGGCGATCTGTTCTCTCTGGCTACACCGTTAGGGATTGTGCGTGAAGATTAGTAAGTAAGTAAGTATGCGCTTTTAATTGTGGGGGTTAGAGAGAAGGAGAACGATCGCTATAGACAAGTGTCCCAGAAATATGGACAAAATAAGTGAGGCGCTGCGATCACTAAAATGTCCCATTAAAAGTCATTTTCAATCTATTTTCCGGTCAGATGCTAAACCACTTGCACATCCACGCACAATATAATATTTCACCATTTTTTAATGTTTCCTTTTGTCAAAAATTAAAAAATACGGAGTACGATTATTTTCTCACCAATGCCGTGAAGAAAATTTGTACATTATTCAACTAACTTCATCTACTTGTACACACCAACGGCAATTCAGGGACAGGCGGGCCATGCTTTAGCACGTAGCAATCGTTCAAGGTTAAAAGCAAGGAGGTTAGAAAGAAGGAGAACGATCGCTACGCACTAAAGCATGCCTGTCCCTGAAAATTTGTAGAATTTATAGTCATGCTGCCGTCGGTAAGTAGTATAGTCTGCGAAGTTGGCTATTTATGAGTTCAAGTAGATGAAGTTAGTTGAATATTGTACAAATTTTCTTCGGCGCATTGGTGAAAAAATAATCGTGCTCCGCAATTTTTTTAATTTTTGCAAAAAAAGAAACATTAAAAATTGGTGATATATTATTAAAAATAATAATAATAATAAATCAATAATAATTTTCTATTTGTAATAATTCATAATATTTATAATAATTAAAATTATAATAAACGTAATTTATAATTAATTCAATAATAAATAATATAATAATAAATAATAAGTCGTTTCTGCAAATGGGTTAATCCCAGTCGGCCTCTCGGATAATCTGAGGCGGCTAGGACTCCGTGACGGTCCGCTCTGGGCTCAAATGCAGAAGGTGGTGCTCCTCGATACCGTCCGCATCGTCCGCCAGTTTCTTTCCCTTTCCCCCTAACCCTCGGCCGTTTTGTCTCCCCTGCTGAGGGCTTCCATCTAGTTGGCTTTTATTTATTTACTCATGTTAGTATATTAAATATATATTTACGTATACTTCTCATTTTCTTTTATATATTTATTCAGCCCAAAAAGATGAGAATACTCTATGTAAACCTCATATAAATAATAATAATAATTTCGTTATTTTCTTTTTTTCTTTGAATGATATTATATACACGTATATTAAACGTCGATAGATAATTTCAAACTAGCGCACAACAGCCCAGCGATTTTATTGAGGCAACTTAGCGATCACAGCGGCTCACTTATTTTGTGTATATTTCTGGGACACTATTTTCTACAGCGATTGTTCTCCTTTTCTCTGACCTCCTTGTTTTTAACGATAAATTTACGTCTAGAGTGCATTAAACACAATAAATGAATTTTATACAATGTTACAGAATGCCTAGTTACCGATAAAAAGTGGTATACTTATGAATGAAAAGACAACCCTGGCATTTTCATTCCACTATTACTTTTAGATCCTATAACCATGGAGGTTAGAGAACAGGAGAAAGATCGCTACGTACTAAAGCATAGCCCGCCTGTCCATGACAATTTGTATAATTTATGGCGGCGCTGCCGTCGGGTAATAGTGACTGCGAAATAGCTGTTTATGAGTAAAAGTAGATGAAGTTGAATAATGTACAAATATTCTTCGCGGCATTGGTGAGAAAATTTTCATGCCCCACAATTTTTTAATCTTTAACAAAAAGAAACATTAAAAAATGAAAAAATATTTTATTGTATTGTTATATTTAAAAATAGACTGAAAATTACTTTTATTGTGCGAACTTAGCGATCGCAGCGCCTCACTTATGGTGTCCATATTTCTGGGACATTATTTACTACGGCGACCGTTTTCCTGTTCTCTAACCTCCATGTTTCCAACGATTCTTAGGAGAATGGCAGATTGTCCTCCTATCTCTATACTCCATACGTTCTAACTTGCTATCAAGGCTCAGAAGGGCTATAGCCCAGAGCCGTAAAGCCAGTTAATAAGAAAAGCTTGCTATTACAGATAAGTTTGTTATATAATTGTTACAGAGTACTTTGTGTATACCTGAAAACAATTATTTACGTAGACAGAGAAACCTATAGACAAATTGACGCCTTCTTTCGCATTCGCACACGAAAAAGATAGATTTATGCAAACGTCTTGCATAAAAGTGAGATAGAGCGGTGTGATTGTTTGTCCCTTTCTCCGTGCCGGTTTTTTTGTTTAGCAAACTCTACAGTTTGCTAAACAACTTTAACAGCGTAGCGATTTAAGGAGTTTACAAGTTGATTTAAGTGAGAAAAAAGTGTTTTGTGAGCTTAAGATTGATGAATCTTGTTCAGTTCAGTTCTTAGAACAATTAAAATTTTTATCTAAATGTGTTTAAAAGTCATAAAGATTATTGTATAACCTAAAAATTCGTTATCGTCCTTTCTCACTCGAGGCCACGTCGATCATTAAGCGGGCTACATACGACACGATATCGGTGGCGATCTAGGGTGGAAAGAAATCGGGGCTTTTATCGGGGTAGACCTTACACACGGGCCTGCCTAGCAGTACGCGTTCGGACTTGGAGCGGAACGCATATGCGGTAGAGTTCTTCAAAATACCTCCGACTCTCTTAAAACACCACCGTGTTGGTTTGGCATTAGCCATCTCGGTTAATTTATTCGAAAATAGAAAAAGAGAAGTTGCTGGGTGAAAAAATGGCTCCAAAAGAGATAAAAATCAAGCCACATAAACGTACTAAATGGCCTGTAATCCAAGGACGTGATTAATTTTCTCCGGATGGATGAAGACAGTTTTATAACCTTCTAGAAATGATTTCGCCACTTATATAAAAACGTCAATTTCTCCTACCTATGCTATTTAGTTATTTCTTCTCTTTGTTCATTTCTGCTTTGGTCAAAATCTGGTTATGTATTACACACAACAAACAAGGAAATAAAATACTTTTGTATAATAATATGTATACTTTTTTTAATGTAATCTTTATTTATGGAGTAAAATTATCAGAAAATAAAATAGCTTATATCTTTTTTTTAAACATAAAGAAACCTTTAATTTCGGACATACTCCCTTTTATATAACTTGTTTGTTGATGTGAAGATGGTGAAGGAGTAGAAGTTAGTTGTTGATAAGAGGATGAAGGCACGTAAGAGATCGAAGTGTGGTCTTGTGGAGTTGTAAGAGATATGAGTGCGGTCTTGTGTTGATAGCGTTGGAATAGGAGTTAGTTGTAAAGGAGAGGCTATCTTCTCCTTACTTACATCATACACTCTACTTTACGAACGGCAATAAAAAAAATTAGTTTAGTAGGCATTCTTGACCATGTCACTTCGCCGGGTCACAGGCTAGGGTGGATATGATTTGAATTTCGATAAAATTTCAATTAATTTATTTATTTTATTCACTTTTTTTTTTGTTTTTTGTAAAATATCAGTGCCATAAGCTTCTACTCCGTTTATATGATTAAAATGTAAAAATTTTGTTATATAAAAAAGGTCATTCAGTATCACTGTTTTGTTAACTTCTTTCCGCGAGGGTTGCCGGCAGCGACTGCCAAAAGAAATCGGGCCGATGCGCCTACACACACGCAGTAAGGAGGGGGCGGTGCCCCGATCTAGGAAGCATCGGCTGATCTAGGAAGCATTTTTGCTCCTGCCAGCCGATTAAGGAGGCGATATCGGCCACGACTTGGGATGGCCCTACATACGACACGATTTAGAGGCAATCTAGGAGGCATCCCCACTACTCCACCCTAGATCGCCACCGATATCGTGTCGTATGTAGCCCGCTTTAGTCTATAGGTTTCTCTGTTTACGATTATTTATTTTTATCTATGGTTATGGCCTGTTCCGTAGACAGCTGTTCAATGTTCTGTTCAGAATTTTAATCATAGATTACTGTGATTTTAATAATATATATAAATAGAGGAAAGTTATATGTATATCGGGTAATTATTTCAGAACAAAACATGAATCACAGAATTTTAGAACTTTACAGCGGTATTGGAGGAATGCATTGCGCGTGGAATGGTATTGGAATTTTATTTCTAAATTTTATTGTAAAAGAATACTGTAGTAATACTTTTACTTAAAATTAATTTTCAGAGTCCAAAATAGGTGGAGAAATTGTTGCAGCTGTGGATATAAATACAGTCGCTAATGAAGTGTACAAATACAACTTTCCATTTACAAACCTAATTAACAAGAACATTCAGTCATTGAGTGCTAAAACACTAAATAGATTTAACATAAATACTATACTTATGTCACCTCCATGCCAACCATTTACTAGAAATGGAAATTATTTAGACGAAAATGATCCCAGGACAAATTCTTTTTTATATTTGATTGACATTCTTGACAAATTTGAAAAACTTGAATATATATTGATGGAGAATGTAAAAGGCTTTGAATGTTCATCAGTAAGGAAATTATTTGTGGACAAGTTAAAGGAGTGTAAATTTGAGTTTCAAGAGTTTCTTGTTTGTCCATCAAGTATAGGAGTTCCAAATTCACGACTTCGTTATTATTGCCTAGCTAGGAAAACAGCTGCAAGTTGGAATTTTAAACGAAAAGATGAAATAGTAGGTATATCTTGATAAACCTTCTTTATCATCTGTTGATTGAATAGTCTGCTGTAATTATTATCATACATGTGCAGGTGGTTTAAAATTGCTATAACAGATTTCTTGCATCTTTTATACTGTCTCTTAACACTAGATATTTTACATCTATCACATGTACAGTATATCTATTGTGCTCGACACCTTGCATGTTTGAGAGAGTTTTAAAGCAATAAGTCCGATGCACTGCTCCAGTGTCAGTTAGTGGACTTTATGGGTAAATCCTTGTGATATTTTATTTATAAGACGTACCAGAATCCTCACCTTTCTTTCACCAACAAGAATGTGGTAAATATACATATAAAATCGCTATTAACAATTTTATTGGTGAAAGTGGGGACAAAAGAATGCAATCCACAAACTTATGGGGAGGGTTTAGTCTCCTAAGCTCAAATGCTGATGGTATTTTGTAATATAATAATTCTAACAACAGACAAAAAAGATGGTAGTTTAGTATCACTTTATTGCTTTTGTAACAAATGTTACATATTTCTATATATAATTTTAATATTATTCTATACATCACTATAGCCCATCAATGTCCACTGCTGAACATAGGCTCCCCCTATAGATTTAAACAAAATATAGTTATGAGCCACCTGCATCCTATCGTCTACCTGCATGTTTTATCTGAACATCACTTAATCTAGTGAGTGATTTCCTAACACTGCACTTTCCAGTAAGAGGCTGCCACTTGAAAACTTTTCTTCCAATGGGGTGCCCATTATCACTTCAGTTTAGTGAACTGTTGGGTCATGCCAGTTACTCATGTTCCTCTGATATCCTTATTATGGATTTTATCTAGAGAGATTTCAAACATAGGCCTTTAAATCGCACTTTAAGTGAAAGCTTTCTCTTGCGGTCAGCAGTGAAGAACCATGTTTTAATTCCATAAGTTATCATTGGCAACACGCAATGGTTGTACACTTTTTATTCTTAATAATAATTCTATTATTTTCAATATTATATTTATCATGTTTTATTTGCAGATGAGTATGATACCAGTTGATTATGGTATACCTAACACATTAGAAAGTATAATAGAGAAAGATGTTTCAGACAAATATCTAATAAATGAGAAGTTATTAAGGCATGGGAATATAATGGATATTTGTTTCAAAGATTCTATAAGGTCTTGTTGTTTCACTAAAGCTTATACTCATTATATTGAAGGAACTGGTTCAGTGTTCACTGCAGCAACTCCAGAAACTGTAAAAATGTGTTTTGAAAAGGCAAATTCTTTTGATGTTGGTAGTGAGAAGTATGTGGAATCACTGAAGAAATTGAATTTAAGATTTTTTACTCCAAAAGAAGTTTCATTGCTTATGTCATTCCCTATTTATTATAAATTCCCTGAAACTGTAACCCTAAAACAGTCCTACAGATTGCTTGGTAATAGTATTAATGTAAAGGTAGTAAGTGAATTATTAAAGTTATTATTTAATTAATCATAAATATATTTATTTGAACATTATTTTTAGTTTATATAAGGTCTTAACGATTTAATTTTTCTCTATAAGTATTTTAAATACTATAACATTTCATTTTACATTGATTAAAACTACTTTTATGGATATTATTGTGTTTATTTTACATTTAATTACTTTTATTTTTAATTCCCAACATTTCGGGCGCTTTCCAGCACCCATGGTCATGGGGGACTGAGACCCTCCTAAGGTCTCCGTGACCATGGGTGATGGAAAGCGCCCGAAACATCGGGAATTAAAAAATAAAAGTAATTAAAAGTAAAATAAATGCGATAATATCCATAAGAGTAGTTTTAATCAATGTGTAGTGTTCGCGTAAATATAAGAAATCATTATTTCATTTTACTTTTTGAATACTTTTAAGATCCAGATTCTTCACAGTCCCTAATGAAGTAATCTTCTAAATAATCTTTTCATTATATTGATCCATTTGCTAATACTTGCCGGGCTCTACGTTTAGCTTTGTGATTGAGTACTCTCATTCGTAACATAACAGATACAGATGATACTGTTCCTAGTACAAATGACCATATTGCGAATTTCCAGAATGCTCTTTCTTCTAAATAGGCAACACGATCACAACTGCAGAAAAGTTTAAAATAAGTGACTTCATTATTATTTATAAATAAATATACTCTTAATTTATGATTTACCTCCTAGTGACTGTTTCACCATTTTCACATTTTAATATTTCCTTAAAACTTGTGTGTATACATACTCCTATACTCTTACTTCGAATTTCAAAATCTACAAAACAGGAAAGAAGCTTCATAGAGAATATTAATATAATAATTTAACATGAAATAATTTAATTTCGGTCAAGAATCTAATTTTAAAATTCAATTAAATCCAGGTCTCAAAATTTTTACATTTCATAAGATTAATTTAAATATTTTATTATTTATAAAATGATCAATAAAAAATTAGAAGCTTTAAAATTAACATTATAATACCACACTATTATCTACCCAAGCATCCACGGTGACTGTAGTCCCCAAAAAATTCGCATCAACTGTCCATGGTGACTATAGTCCCCAAATGACATTGTTCACTTTAAATGTGTATAGCGCTAAGGACCGATGTTAATAATACAGTAGAAAAATAAGAGATGGTGCTATTTGAAATTAGTGATCCTTGAGAGTGAATTTCATCTGTGCAATGGCAAGAAAATATTCAGAAAAAATGTGAAGATAACAATTCGCCATTCTTGTTTGTGGACTATTAAAGTGTGTGGAGCTTGATCAAAAATGTGATAAATTTTCTGTTTTTATACATTATTTCCAATGTAACTGTACATCAAATTAATTGTAAACATATTTCCTTTAGGAAATGTGTATCATTACGACAGTTCTAAAGTATTTACATATAATAATTTAGCTTCAAATTTTAATCACTATATGCAATCATAGTTTTTTGATTATATGTTGTTTAAAATGTATTGTAATCTGTTTTTGTTAAATTATTGCTAAATATAAAATAATACTTTATGATTAACAGGTTAATAGCCCTTTATAAAAGAAATATGTTGTGATTTGTCTAGAAATTATTAAAATGCAACTCGTGCAATTCATGATTGCATTGGGGAGTGAATATATTTATAGTGAGTAAATATTATATATGTATCATCTATACTGAGCAAATAATATTGAGATATGTATTATTTTAAAGGGTATATCATGTACTATTATATTTTTTTCTAATATAAAATAATTGTCTCCTATAACTATTATACTTTTCTTGTAAAACTCGAAATAGAAAATTAATATGATAATTTTTTTGATATTCCTAACTTTAAGCTTTCATCCTTTATTTTTAATTTGAGCAATTTTGTTTAACAAAATTAAATTCTAATTTATTGAGCTTTTCATGACAACTTTTTATTTCAATGTAGATATAGTAGTTTTTCAGTGGTAATTGGTTTTGTTGAGATTGTCTCGTGCAGTCGTAAAAAAGAAAGTGACATTTAATATGCAGACAGGTGGAGCGAGAATCACTCGCGCCGCTTGGACGCTTGAGTGGATAAATTGCAAAGATAAGCAAATAAAAATGATTAATTAATTTGGTATTGTCATAGTAATGCTAATCTGTTTACAATTAGAAAACATATTACCTGAGCAAGGATGACATTCACTAACAATTTTATAGGGTTGATGCATCCAGCATGTGGAATTGTTTTCAGTTGGAAATGTTTTATTTCTCATTTTATGGTTACCAGATAGTGTTTCAGCTAAATGTGATTCTAAAATGAGTATGACAATTGTTAATCTAGAAAAAAAATTAAATTACTTTATTTTATGTAGTTCAATAATCACAACATATAATCTAAAAAGTCGAAAAATAACATAAGTTACTCGTCAAAAACAGTAAGAAGTAGGCAATACATACACTCCTAAACAAACTGTCCCTATTAACATGCATCTTTTTGAACATGTTTCAATCATTGTTGGTTTATATAATTACTGGTATAATTAAAATTGTTGGAGAAAATTTTACTCCTGAAATCAGTTTTCTAAAAACCTATTAAAAAGAACATTAAACATTATTTCTTTAACTGTCGTTAACAATCGCGTTCGATTCGACATAAACAAACACAGATTAATACATTTATCTATGGATTAATAATAATAAATCTGATTATACTGATCATAGATAAATAGATATCACAGACTACTAAGAGGATACTACGCATATATATTAAGATAAGTACCAAGCAGTGATGGACATATTTACTCTACCAGTTTTTCACTTCAAAATACGGCGCCCTGGTACGAGTATAAGTATAAAAGTATCTGTTGTAATGGTGGTTAATATGGCGCATAGCGCCATATTATAGCGCGCTATCTGTTAATAACACATAGCGCGTGCTAGGTAAGTAGTCGCCATGACGCTATTGCACTATGGCGCTTTGGCGCTATTAAGTATTAATATTGTTGCGCACCTAAGTTGACGTCATGTACCCGGCACTAGCGCCACCTAGTGTCTGGGACGAGAGCGAGGGGAGCTTTCCAGAAAATGATATCACTAATATTTCAACCGACAGCGCCATCTAGTATCGAAACGAAGTACTAAGCTTCTAGAAGCCCGACACTCGAAGTTTCGACGCCTTGTCGATTGGCGCGCGTATTTACTTGAATATTCTGGATATTTCGGTGATAATGTGTTTTAAAGACGCTGCACGATGCGATCGGGGAAGTATTGAATTTGGCGCGACAAGCGAAGCTTCGGAGCGAAATAAAGTGAATCAGTGTGATTAATTATTAGTGTTCTAAGTTTTAATTAGTGTAAAGTGAATTAAAGAGTTAATTTTGGTAATTCTATCGGCCATTTTTATTGTCACGAACCTCAAGCTCGTAACAATTGGTGTCAGAAGTGGGATTAAATCATGCCGATTTTAACTAAGGAGGAAACGTAGGGTGTCCATACCCGAAGTCAACGACAGCAGGAGACGGACCAGAGACGATTTGGTGGTGCAACGCTGCAGACGTCAGATGGCCAACTGCCAGCCACGGAGGCTGGCTCGTCAGCAGATCCTACACCTGCAGCACCTGAATTAGGTGCTCTGATGGTGATGCTACAGGAGCAGGCCCGTCGGTTGGAAGAGCAGCTGAAGCGCGGACAGGTGGAACAGGCCCGCCGACAGGAGGAACAGGCCCGCCGACAGGAGGAACAGGCCCGCCGACAGGAGGAACAGGCCCACCGACAGGAGGAACAGGCCCGCCGACAGGAGGAACAGGCCCGCCGACAGGAGAAACAGGTTGAAAGAGCAGCAGGAAGAACAGGCCCGTCGCTTAGAAGAGCAGCTCAAATGCGATAGGGAAGAGCAGAAGCTTCTCATGATGGACCTTCACGCTACCTTCGGGAAAGAGATAAGGGAGGTGAAGGATAAGGTTTCGCAACATGATGACCGTCGGAAGCTGAGACCCGAATCAACCAAGTTAAGAAAACGCTGGATGATCTCAAACTTGGAGATGGAATTACAGCCCCCGCAGTAGCTACAACACCTTCGCTACGTGGCTTCAAAGTGCCACCGTTCGACGGGACTTCTTCCTGGTCAGCTTACAAAGTCCAGTTTGAAGCTGTTATGAAGGTGAACGGCTGGAATAAAAGTGAGGCCATGACTGCTCTCACACTAGGCCTGCGAGACCAGGCCTTAACAGTTCTGGAAGCTCTCGGTGAGGAAGTGACTTATGAGCAACTCCTTGAGGCATTGGAGGCGAGATATGGCGGCGCTCACCTGGAACACGTCTTTCATGCGCAGCTTAAAGATCGCGTGCAGCGCATCGACGAAAACCTGCAGCAGTGGGCTCTAGAGGTGGAGAAGCTGGTGCGAAAAGCATACCAGTCTATACCTGCGCTCATTGAAGGGAACCTGGTGCAGACATTCTTCGACGGAATCCGCGAACTGGAAGTCAGAGCTGCTGTGAGGCTCGGGCACCACGAGACGCTTAAGGACGCCTTGGTCTATGCACTGGAGGTGAAAGCCGTGCGGCAGGATCATCGTTCTCATCGCGTCAGGGAGGTTGCAGCAGCTACAGTTCGCAACAAAGGATTCAGCCCTAGGTGCTATGGCTGTGGGGAAAAGGGCCATCTTCGATCCAGCTGCCCTAAGCGAACCTTATAAAGGGAAGGTGAACGATCTCAGGAGGGTAGTGCGGCCAACAGCACCGCCCAGCAGCAGCAGGAAAGTGGCCAGAAGTCTTCGCCATTCCAAATCAAGAAGCTTCAATAGTTGCAGATAAACTAGTTCATGAAGTCTTCTGTCGTTTTGGAGTACCTTTAGAGATTCACAGCGATCAAGGAAGGAGTTTTGAGTTTCAAATATTCCAGGAAACTTACCGAGTTATGGGTACTCATAAAACAAGAACGATTGCTTATTACCCGCAATTTGATGGAATGGTAGAACGATTTAATCAGACATTGGAGAGGTACCTAGCAAAAGTTGTAGACAATCGGCAACGAGA